GAACTGCCTGCATACTCTCTCCACATGAGGATGGGCATTGTCCTGCACCAGGAGGAACCCAGGACCCACTGCACCAGCGTAGGGTCTGACAATGGGTCCAAGCATTTCATCCCGAAACCTAATGGCAGTCAGGGTGCCTTTGTCTCTATCCTGTAGAGGTCTGTGCATCCCTCCATGGATATTCCTCCCCAGACCATCACTGACCCACCACCAAAACATGCTAAACGATATTACACGCAGCATAACATTCTCCACAGGTTCTCCAGACCCTTTCACGTCTGTCACATGTGCTCAGGGTGAACCTGCTCTCATCTGTGAAAAGCACAGGGTGTCAGTGGCGGACCAGCCAGTTCTGGTGTTCAATGGTAAATGCTAATTGAGCTCTGTGGTGCCAGGCAGTGATCACAGGGCCCACTAGAGGACGTCGGGCCCTCAGGCCACCCTCATGAAGTTTGTTTCTGATTGTTTGGTCAGAGACATTCACACCAGTGGCCTGCTGGAGGTCATTTTGTAGGGCTCTGGCAATGCTCACCCTGTTCCTCCTTGCACAAAGGAGCAGATACAGGTCCTGGTAATGGGTTAATGACCTTCTACAGCCCTGTCCAGCTCTCCTAGAGTAACTGCCTGTCTCCTGGAATCTCCTCCATGCTCTTGAGACTTTGCTGGGAGACACAGCAAACCTTCTGGCAATCCTGGAGGAGTTGGACTGCCCGTGCAACCTCTGTAGGGTCCAGGTATCGCCTCATGTAGTAGTGACGCTGACCCTAGTCAAATGCAAAACTAGTGAATAACAGTCAGAAAAGATGAGCAGGGAAAAGAAAATGTCAGTGGCCTCCCCCCGTAAAACCATTCCTGTTTTGGGGGTCATCTCACTGTTGCCCATCTAGTGCACCTGTTAATTTCATTAACACCAAAGCAGCTGATACTGATTAACAATCCCCTTTGCTACTTAACTGACCAGATCAATATCCCAGAAGTTTAATTGACTTGATGCTATACTCTGATTAAAAAGTATTCCTTTAATTTTTTTGAGCAGTATATATATATATATATATATATATATATATATATATATATACAATTGCAAGAAAAAGTATGTGAACCCCTTGGGATTACGTGGAGTTTTGCATGAATTGGGCATAAAATGTGCTCTGAACGTCATCTAAGTCACAACAATAGAAGAACACAGTCTGCTGAACATAATACTACACAAACATTAGATGTTGCCATGGTTTAATTGCACATAACATGTAAACATTCACAGTGCAGGGAGGAAAAAGTATGTGAACCTTTGGACTTAATAACTGGTTGACCCTCCTTTTGCAGCAATAACCTCAACCAAACATTTCCTGTAGTTGCATATCAGACCTGCACAACGATCTGGAGTAATTTTGGACCACTCCTCTTCACAAAACTGTTTCAGTGTAGCAATATTCTTGGGATGTCTGGTGTGAATCGCTCTCTTAAGGTCATGCTACAGCATTTCGATCGGGTTGAGGTCAGGACTCTGACTGGGCCACTCCAGAAGGCATATTCTGTGCTGTTGCAGCCATTGTTTTGTTGAATTACTTGTATGCTTCGGGTCATTGTCCTGTTGCATCACCCATCCTCTGCGGAGCTTCAGTTGGCGGACAGATGGTCGTACGTTTTCCTGCAAAATGTCTTGATAAACTCTGGAATTCATTTTCCCATCAATGACAACAATCCGTCCAGGCCCTGAGGCAGCAAAGCAGCCCCAAACCATGATGCTCCCTCCGCCATGTTTTACAGTGGGGATGAGGTTTTGATGTTGGTGTGCTGTGCCTTTTTTTCTCCACACATAGTGTTGTGTGTTCTTCCCAAACAACTCAATCTTGGTTTCATCTGTCCACAGTATATTTTGCCAGTAGTGCTGTGGAACATCCAGGTGCTCTTTTGCAAACTTCAAACGTGCTGCAATATTCTTTTTGGACAGCAATGGCTTCCTCCGTGGTGTCCTCCCATGTACTCCATTCTTGTTTAATGTTTTCCTTATTGTAGATGTGTCAACAAAAATGTTAGCATGTGCCAGAGATTTCTGTAGGTCTTTAGCTGACACTCTGGGGTTCTTCTTTACCTCATGCAGCATTCTGCGCTGTGCTCTTGCAGTCATTTTTACAGGACGACCACGCCTAGGGAGAGTAGCAACAGTGCTAAACTTTCTCCATTTGTAGACAGTCTGTCTTACCGTGGACACATGAACATCAAGGCTTTTGGAGATACTTTTGTAACCCTTTGCAGCTTCATGCAAGTCAACAATTCTTCATCATAGGTCTTCTGAGAGCTCTTTTCTGCGAGGCATGGTTCACATCAGACAGTGCTTCTTGGAACCAGTAAACCCAAAACAGGTGTGTGTCTTTTAAGGGCAGGACAGCTGTCAGCAACACATCCAATATTATCACACTGATTGGAGTCAAGGTTGGCTCACTCCTGGCTCCAATTAGCTCTGGGAGAAATCATTAAGCTAGGGCCTCACATACTTTTTCCTCCCTGCACTGTGAATGTTTACATGTTATGTGCAATTAAACCATGGCAACATCTAATGTTTGTGTAGTATTATGTTCAGCAGACTGTGTTCTTCTATTGTTGTGACTTAGATGACGTTCAGAGCACATTTTATGCCCAATTCATGCAAAACTCCACGTAATCCCAAGGGGTTCACATACTTTTTCTTGCAACTGTATATATATATATTAGCCCTGATATGCTGACTACATATCTCATTTCTTGAGGACCTAAAATATAAGGACATTATAAAATATATTTATTAAGGAACATGGTGAGTTTTTTTGAAGTTGTAATTTTTTTGCTACTATTAAAATTAGTTTTCTTTTTCACACATTTATCTCTCACACAGAGTATAGACATACTTACATTTACACCCCATTTTTGCAAATAAATAATCTTTCTTCATAAATTTAGGCCAAAATACTTTATTTCTTTGGTAAAAATACCTCAAATCAGTGTATATTATTTAGTCTGTGTGAAAGTTATAGAGTCTACAAACTATGGTCTATTTATTTGAAAAATGATCAGTCGGGATGTACTGAAGGCTTATCTAATTTCCTAAGGTCCTAAAATGCCAGGACAGTACAAATATCCTCCAAATGACCCCTTTTTTGTAAAGTAAGCAATCTAAAGGTAAGGTAATTAGTAAGAGGCATGGTGATTTTTGTGTTCATTTAGTTGCAATTTAATTGTAATTTTTTAATTGTTTTTGAAAAGTGAAGAAAGTAAATACAATTTGATGTTATTTCACAAAGTTGTCAATTTAACACGTTCTCACACACAGCATGGGCATACTTACAATTATACCCCATAGCAGGCTTTGTTCCTATAAGCCAAGCAAGTTTAACCACTTCAATACCGGGCACTTTCACCACCTTTCTGTCCAGGCCAATTTTCAGCTTTCAGCGCTGTCGCACTTTGAATGACAATTGCACGGTCATGAAACACTGTACCCATATGCCCATATGACATTTTTTATCATTTTTGAAATGCATAGTGCTTTCTTTTGGTGGTATTCAGGTTTTTTCTGTAAAATGTTGCAAACACGTTATTTTTCTCTTTTACTGATGTGTGCTGATGAGGCTTCACCGATGGGCACTGATCGGGCTGCGCTGATCATCAGGGCACTGATGATTAGTGCCCTGATTATCAGTGTAAACATCGCCTGTCATGATCGCTGTTTACCGGCTTTCCTTTCCTCACGCTGTAAAACCAGTTAATTGGGAGTCATTGGGAAAAATTTCCCGCTTACCGTGGTGGTCAGTAGGAACCAGGGGCAGACTGACCATTTGGAAACTCGGGCACTGCCCGAGGGCCCAGGGTCAGTAGGGGGCCCCATGAGATGCCCCTGGTACCTTTTTCATAGGCTTTTTTGAGTTTGGGCAAGGACACAGTGGCCCCATAATCCCCTATTGCCCGGGGGCCCCATGAGTTATCAGTCCGCCCCTGGTAGGAACAATGTCCTCCTTATGTCGGTGCCCAGTAAAAGGAATGTTACCCTATGTTGGTAGTCAGTGGGAAGAATGTCCCTGTTCCATTGTCACTGCATCCACCCTGCACACATGTTCCACTACCACTGTACACCTGTTTTGCCACCACTACGCTATGAGCACACATGTTCCATCAGTGTACCCCCTCTGCACACATGTTCCATCAGTGCACCCCCTCTGCACACATGTTCCATCGCTGCACCCCCTCTGCACACATGTTCCATCGCTGCACCCCCTCTGCACACATGTTCCAGCGCTGTACCCCCTCTGCACACATGTTCCATCGCTGTACCCCCTCTGCACACATGTTCCATCGCTGTACCCCCTCTGCACACATGTTCCATCGCTGTAATCTCTCTGCACACATGTTCCATTGCTGTACTCTCTCTGCACACATGTTCCATTTTTGCATCCCCTCTGCACACATGTTCCATTGCTGTACTCTCTCTGCACACATGTTCCATTTTTGCATCCCCTCTGCACACATGTTCCATTGCTGTACTCTCTCTGCACACATGTTCCATTTTTGTATCTCCTCTGCACACATGTCCCATCATTGGTGTCAGCAGAAGGAATGGTGTCCCATCACTGGTGTCAGTAGGAGGAATAGTGCCCCATAACTGGTGTCAGTGGGAGGAATGGTGTCCCATCATTAGTGTCAGTGTGGGAGGAATAGTGCCCCATCATTGGTGTCAGTGTGGAAGGAATAGTGCCCCATCATTGGTGTCAGTGTGGAAGGAATAGTGCCCATCATGGGGCACTATTCCTCCTACTGACACCAGTGATGGGACACCATTCCTTCCACTGACACCAATGATGGGACACCATTCCTCTCACTGACACCAGTGATGGGACACTATTCCTCCTACTGACAACAGTGATGGGACACCATTCCTTCTGCTGACACCAATGATGGGACACCATTCCTCCCACTGACACCAGTGATGGGACACCATTCCTCCCACTGACACCAGTGATGGGACACCATTCCTCCCGCTGACATCAATGATGGGACACCTTTCCCCTCACCGACACCAAGGATGAGGCACTATTCCTCCCACTGACACCAACGATGGAGCACTATTCCTTCCAATGACACCAACGATGGGGCACTATTCCTCCCACCGATACCAACGATGGGGCACTATTCCTCCCACCGACACTAACGATGGGGCACTATTCCTCCCACTGACACCAACAATGGGGCACTATTCCTCCCACCAATACCAACGATGGGGCACTATTCCTCCCACTGACACTAACGATGGGGCACTATTCCTCCCACTGACACTAACGATGGGGCACTATTCCTCCCACTGACACTAACGATGGGGCACTATTCCTCCCACTGACACCAACAATGGGGCACTATTCCTCCCACCAATACCAAACGATGGGGCACTATTCCTCCCACTGACACTAACGATGGGGCACTATTCCTCCCACCGACACCAATGATGGGGCACTAGCTCCCAGTGGGGGCCATTGACTCCCACTGCTGTCAATCACAGCCAGTCAGCCAATGAGGAGAAAGAGGGGGTAGTGCCAAGCCACGGCTCCATGTGTGAATGGACACATGAAGCAGCTGGTGCCCCCCCCAAAAAAGAGAAGCTTTAGAATCACTTTACTTACCTTTATTTTACCGAAAAGGTAAAAATCCTTTTCTGTAACTGCTTAGCAAGTGTTAGTCTTTAATTTGTTAGTCACTTATGTAAAGTCTACTAGTCCATCTCACACCACCCTTTCAACAGGTTGACAATGCTGCTGTCCAAGGGTGGCCTCTCTATGGACAAAGTGGGCAAGTGAGTGTAGCCACCCTAAGAAGGAAAACGTGTTACTGGCAGGATCACCATGTTAAAGTAAAGGAAATAAAACTATAAAAAGAAAACAAATGCAACCATCACATCTAAGGATTGGTTTTACTTAGTTTATTCTATACTCTTTATGGGATGCTGTACCTTTAAGATTTAGCCCATCCCCAATCTATTAACAAAACTGCAATGGGCTACAATTGTTTTTTGGATTGAAATAAACTTTGACTGTGTTATGATTGTATTAGGATTATTTTTTGTTTGTAAGAGTTTGACACATTATTAATGTATTATTTCATATTCCTTCATAACATTAAAAACAATACAGCCAAAACACAGTTAAATCATATCATGTTAAAATAAAGATTACCATATGGAGGAGTTTGAACTTTTTACGAACTGGAGTGGATCTTGCCAACACTCCACAGAGGATTTATGGGGCTGTCAGCCTTTTTTTGTTTGCTGAGCAAGCACCAAAATTCACTGAAGGCAAGTTTCCAATTTTATATATATAAAATGTCTGCCAGTTGGGGAACACTCCCTATAAAGTCTATCTAGCCACACATAGGAACAGATAAGATGTTCGCAGTTTTCAGTGACACGTCTTGTATGCTATCTTCATGAGCAATTGTCAAGTTAGAAATATAAGAAATATAGATAGAAGGTGCAAGTCTAGCAACTGTTAACTTGTTATTTTTGTAAATGTAGACACATTTCATGTTATTATGGTGGTGTAAAATCTGTTATCTTTCATGTGAAACATATACAAGAAATTAACTCTTTAAAGCACCACCTGCCTGGAGTTTGCATGTTCTCCCTGTGCCTGTGTGGATTTCCTCCGGGTACTCCAGTTTCTTCTCACACTCCAAAGACACGCTGGTAGGTTAATTGGCTCCTGTCTAAATTGGCTCTAGTATGTGTATGTATGAATATAAGTTAAGGACTTTAGATTGTACGCCCCTTGAGGATTAGGGACTGATGTGAATGTACAATATATATGTGAAGCTCCACGTAAATTGACGGCGCTATATAAGTACCTGAAATAATTTACAAGAAATGAACTCTTTAAAGCTCCTCACTGGCCTCCCTCACCACAGACTATCCCCGCTTCAGTCGATCCTGGATACGGCAGCCAGACTCATCCATCTTACCAACCACTCCGTTTCCGCCACCCCCCTCTGCCAATCCCTCCATTGGCTTCCGATTGCCCAACGGATCAAATTCAAAATGCTTACACTGACGTACAAAGCTGTCCATAATACTGCCCCAAACTACATCACCGACCTAATATCCAAGTACCGCCCAACACGCACACTCCGCTCCTCACAAGACCTCCTTCTCTCTAGTTCCCTGGTCTCCTCCTCCCATGCCTTCCTCCAGGACTTCTCCAGGGCATCACCCATCCTCTGGAACTCCCTACCCCAATCCATCAGACTATCACCTACTCTCCTCTCCTTTAGGCGCACCCTGAAAATCCACCTCTTCAGGGAAGCCTACCTCGCCCCCCTGCTAATTGCTGATCTCCTCCACTCTTCCTACCACTCCATCCCCCACAGCTTTTCCTCCAGTACCACTACCCCCCCCCCACCCTCCTAGATTGTAAGCTCCAAGGAGCAGGGCCCTCTAACCCCTCGTGTATCGCATTGTATTGTTATTGTACTGTCGCATGTTCTGTCTTCCATTGTAATGTACAGCGCTGAGCGAACTATTGGCGCTTTATAAATACTGTATAATAATAATAAAGCTGATTTCCTTCCAATTAGCTCTGTGATCAATTAGATCTGTGAGCCGATCCCCTGCTGATTTTGAACAGAGTGGCCAGATGACAGATCCGTGTCCGCTCAGTTTCTGCTGATCAGACCTGGACAGAGCCAGTACTGCTGAATGGGTGGCCAGAAGTAAACTGACTCTGCTGTCCGTTTACACCTGACTACCTCTGATCTGCTCCACCTAAACAGTAGAGGACAGCATTCTCTTCTGATTTTTGTAGTAGACCCGATCCAACCCAGTGGTAGGTGGGCAAAAAATGGACACAAGTCGGTTTACACCCACCTGTCCATAGAAATGCACGGACCTTCTGATCAGGTCCACCTGAAAAATGAACAGGTGAACCTGATCGGAACACTTGTCTGAAAGGGAGCTAAGTGAGAATTGGATAACAGTCAAAATACAAAACAATATTTTTTATTTCCATTACAGAAAACACACTTTCATGCTCAGCACAGTGGCTTAGTGGTTAGCACTTCTGCTTGGCAGCACTAGGGTCATCAGTTTAAATCCAAACCATGACACTACCTGCATGTTCTCTCTGTACTTGCTTGGATTTCCTCCCTACTCTGGTTTATCAAAGGTGAAATAAAAGTGACAGGACAGGAATTTCATGTTCAATTGCCTTTTCCCCACAGTAAGCATTAGCCAGTGTTTTCTGCTGGTGGGGATGATTTACTAGAGATGAATAGGCTGTACGCTTTGCATTTTTAATTTGCCCTAGAGCCTAGTGAAGGTAGTGATTTCACTTTGTAGAGTCTGATCAATTACATACAAGGAAAATAAAAACATGAATGATGGAAATCAGCAGAGCTTCACCACATTCACTAAGCTCTAGGGCAAAGTGAACAGCTTATTTGCCTTTAGTAAATCAACCTCAATATATTTGATTTGTCTGTTTCTGCTGCTTTCTATGGGCCAGATATTTTAAGAACAGGATATATTAATGAAACATCATTTTTAATATTCTTATATTGCAATTAGTAGAGTAAGCATTCTTTTTTCCTAATCTTTAAAATAACGTTTGTGCAGGCTCCAATATTTTTCTGTGTGGCTCACAAATGTGATAACTTTAATGGGAAAAATATATCTTAGTTATCTATGCTTAAACTGTTTCACTTGGATCATTTTTAATAAAATACGCAATATGGCATATCTTTGTTCCCCATTCATTACATTTAATTTGGACTTTAATACTCTATAAAGTAGATGGATGAAAAAAAGTTTATCTTCTCTGTTCCTTCAGTTGTACATGCATTCCTTTCTTAAAGACATTGAAAAGAAGCTGTACAATATTAATTTTATGTCAAGGACCTAATACTTTGTCATCTCTAGTGGAATGTTGCTAAGCTTGGCTACTCTCTTAACACTTCAGTAACACTATGTGAAATGATCATTCATTTTCTGAGGCTCTTTGATTAGCTATGCCAGCCCATGCTGCAAGACTTAGCCTAAAAAATGTAGAGAAAAAAATGTCTTACAGACCCACTGAGCTCAAAGCATATCTGAAGTCTTTTTTTTCCAAAATGAAGAATTTATTTAAATGAAAAACAGGTAACAAAATGCATCTATGAAAGCCATGGAGCTTGAGACAGAGAACATGATCAAATGTATATCATATTTATATGCTGCATTGTACGTTATCATTACATATCATTACCTAAAAACACACTGTACATTGTTATTTATTCACAGGTAGCTGGTGTTGGACTTGATTTCATGTCCCTGGATTTGTCCCCAAGAGGATCTGGTCATAATGGAATTTACAAACACAGCACCGCAAGCTTAGAAAAAAAATATTTCTAATAAAAGGAATTTATTTCAGTAATTGATTTTGCTGTACCTTGGTGCATGCAAATATCTTCAATTTTTATGTAATTACTCTTCTGCATTTTCAGTGCGATTTCATTCAGATGTATATGCTTGTTGACTGTTCGAGTAAATAAAAACAAATCATAAGCAATACATATATATTTTAAATTGAAAAACAAAATCTATGTTTGATAACTGTAATACTCTAACGGGATACAGTGTTTGTTATTCTGAGACAGAATGCTTAAACCAGTTTTATTACTGGTAAATACGTGCAGTGTATTGATAAAGTTTATACACGGGGGTGAAGAAACCTGTTCAATTTGTGCTTTGTGTGTGTTGATGTGCCGTGCAGCCTATTAAAATCAATGACAGGAGTGATTGTATAGATCTTCCTGCATACCTGAGTTTTTACATCTGTATAGGGACAGGCGCGCAGTCCTGGACACAGTCTGCCTCTGTACAGATGTAAATGCTGGTATGTGCAGGAAGGTCCATACATCCTCTCTTGTCATTCATTTTAACATAGGCAAAACATGGCTGGCTCACCATAAGGAGAATTCCAAGTATTTACTGAAATCTCATTAGCAAAAACATGCAGTAAACCCACCAGGGTAAATTTTAGTGCATGTTTTCTATTGCAATCTCAGTAAATATTTGAGATTTTCCTTTTTGGTGTGCTGGCCTTTCTTTTGTCAATGGAGTTGGGCTGTGTCTCTGATGGTCGTGTACCTGGGATCAGGCGAGAAAGGTGAAGACGCAGGATTTGACACATTCTTTAACATACTGAAGGTGGCAGCATGGGCATCTGGATAGGTTCATGCATTCTGTCTCCAGTGTAGACTTTGGTTCTGTCTTGCTTGTCCGCAGTGCTTCTTGAGCAGGGGGTCTCCAAAATTTCTAAACAAAGGGCCAGTTTACTATCCTTCAGGCTTTACGGGGGCCAGACTGTGCCCAGTGGGAGTAGAAAATGCCCTGGCATCAGTGCCCCATCATTGGTTTTAAGGAGAGGAAGAGTGCCCCATTGTTGATATCAATGAGAACAATAGTGCCCCATTGATAGTTCAGTAGGGGGAATGGAGCTCCATCATTGGTATCAGTTGGTGGAATTAGTGCCCAAGAGCCAGATAAAGGCATGCAAAGGGCCACATTCGGTCCCTGGGCCCCAGTTTGGAGACCACTGTTC